TTGGGTTTTTACCAAAAAGTTGGCTCTGGAGTCCTGACTAAGAACCTTTCGACCACTTCGACCATCTTCTCTTTACTTATCTGTTATTGTTATTTTTTATAAATGTGATATTCATGAATATTTTGTGTAGATGCCCAGTCTCTGCAAAAATAATCTACCCATGGGTACAAAAAAGTCCTGCTGAGAAGTCGATTCACCAGGCCAAAAAGCCCACAAATCATTACAAACGCACATATTAACAACTCAAAACGGATATAATCAACAATGCAAGCTGTTCCGTGGCTTCATATCAATAATAACCAAAAGCAAAATCTCCAGGTCAAAAAGTTTCAGCTTTCATACTGTATTCCAAGTATTCCAAGCTGTGAAAGCAACGTTGCTAAAAACTAAATTCAGTCTGCGTTTAGAGAATTATAGACAAACAGTATTCAATGAGTGGTGTATTCACTGTGCCTGACTGATGACAAGCTGACTAGAATAATCTGTGTAGTAAAAATATATTAGTCTTGTCTATTGACTGCAGATATACACAATGTCAGGCTTTCAGGGTGATCATGAGGCTATCACACAGAGGCCGTGTGCCTTTTCAGCCAAATCCAGGTTTGTTGGGGTCTAATACTTTGTCATTATGCTGCGGCTTGGCGAGTAATTACTGCAAATTTGTCACATCTGTGTGGGCAGACAGTTTGCTGACCTTGTGGCCAATCAGCTTTATTAAAAGCGCAGCTAATTTCCCTTCAGTGAAGCAGGGATCAGGCGAGATGATGTGAACCGATAGCTTTGACACTAAAGTGCATGTGGGTCAGGATCTCGCTGCACTGTGCCATCACACTTTAAATCACTATGCTAATGTTGTGCGACTGTGCCGAATGGGAAAAATGTGTAAGGCAGTTCATTTTTAAAGCTGGTTTTGGCTCAATTTGGGGTCTTTGTCATCATCAAGCTTTTGTACTTTGGCCCATTAGGTATTCTGCAAGAACACAAGTTTTTTTTTAGGATAGTTCAGTGCAGCTTCTGCAGCGATGTGGTAGCTGTATCAGACTGTTGTGGGGTAGAGGGAGGTGAGTCCAAAGCAAAGCTCTCGGTTTACTGGTCACTACGCTCCCACCCTCACCTGTCTGCGTCATTTCCTCCGGGTGCTCCGGTTTCCCCTACTACAAAAAATTTGCACAAAACTGTAGGTATGAATGTAATGAGTGAGTGAATGGATGGTGTTGGTTGGGGCTTTGATTCGCCAGTGTGTTCGGCATCTTGCTTCAGTCATCACCGTGTGTGGAGCGATTGTAACAATATCTGACCTCGGAAAATTGTAAAGTGCTTTGGGTGACCTTGGTCTGTAAAATGTGCTATATAAATAAACATTACTTACTTACTTACCTGTGGTCATCAGCTTTGGGTCAGGACGGTCAGGACAAGATTCCAGGTACCAACAGTTGGAATGAGTGCAGCCTGGGTGCTCCCTTATGGTGAGGAGATCATTGACATTGAAATTAAATCAGGAGCTCTGAGTTCATTTCAGATGCTTGCAAATGTTTTGTTTCATATTTAAATTAAAGCCGCAGGCTGCAATAAGCCAGAGATGACCAGAACTTGGTCTGGGACTTCTCTTCTGTCCAACAAGAAAGCAGTGTGTGAGTCCTGTTTGTTTATACATCTACACTATTAATGCATGTAGACTTCAACTCCATCTGGTGCGAATGTCATTTGCCTCCTGTACAATATGCACATCCAAATACTATTGATGAAAAAAATAATAAAAAGAAGAAACTGGAGAAGAACAATAGCTAATACACTGGTGTTGCATCCCGTGTGTAAATCCTCCGCACTTTCTTCCATATCAATAGAAATTTCACTGGATAATCCTAGTTCTCGATACAGTTTTCCCGCAAAGCAGATGGTGTTAAGATAATTAGGCTGCTTGATTTTTCTAATCGTCTGCAGGGATTTACACATCCATCGGCCTATAAACTAATTATGAATTAGCAATATGTCACATGCATTTTCTAACTGTCGACTAAACAATAAGAAAAAAGGTAAATAATGACGTTTATTCATCTACAGAACAGGTACAGCTACAGACCAACAATCCTGGTGTACTATTTCTAATCATTCATTTTTTAATTGTTTTGATATATGGGGATAATATACTAGACTTCCAGATGGTTTTCCTGCTTTTGGCGATGGATAAACACATTATGAGCTGTATGTGTTTGCATAGACACAGACTCTTAAGCCTAGCGTACATCGACAGAGAAACTGGGGACAACTAGTTGCAAGGCGGCTTTTGGCAACTGAGAGGAGATGGTGGGAGATGATCAGTTGCCGAAATCGGTCGATGTGCGCGCTCTTACAACTGGAGATGATCAGTCGGTCTCCAGTTCCAGTCGGTTGCCCGTGTTCTACTTTTCGGCAACTAGTTGTCCTCAGTTGCCCCGATGTGCGCGCTCCATGCGCCGCTCCAACAACGTGTGTGTATTGCGTGTATTGCGAGCCCGCAACAGTTTGTTGTCAGAAAACACACTGTAGTTGAGGCCAGTTGCTGTCGATGTACGCGCTGTTATTCAAGAGACTGGCCTGCGACTCAGAGTTGCCCGTTTTCGCCAGATTGTCGATGTGTGCGGGGCAGCAACTCAGAGGCGACGGATATAATCAGTTGCCAGTCCGATGTACGCTAGGCTTTATGGTATTATTATACATGTCGATGATAATGAGAAAAAAAAAACTCTATGAGAATCACAATAAGTTTGATACTGAAATGAACACAAAGTAGAACAAAATGGGCTGTAAATGCGACCCGCAGCTGCACCGACCGTATTTTCAGTGACTTTACTTAAATTAATGAATTATTCAGATGCATGGAATTTCACTGTGTTGCATCAGTAATACAGTAGAGTTCCTTAGAAGTAAATTTAACCGCAAATAAATGTTTCATTTGTGTAAAAGAGGCTATTGAAAGAAAATCTCCGCTCATGTTCTGATATGAAACTATCTACATTTTTGTTGACGTCTGCATTGTCCTTGTAGGTTTTTCAGTCGGTGGGCGACAGTGGAGAGATGGACGGAGAACTTTGGCCAACATTTGCGCTGACAGGAGTGGCATTTCTATTCTTGTTTGGTTGACAGAAACCGATTGTTGCTGTCTGGCTGTTATGTCCAGCCCGTCCATCAAAGCATATTTGTGTTATCAGTCAAAACAAAAGGTATTTCACAATGAGATTTTAGAGTAGATCATCAGAATCTGTTCAAAGACTGTTTTATACCACCATTTTTTGCAATGATTTTATGAAGTCAGTATTACTGACTATTTAAAAATTAAGCAATGCTATTTTCACCTGTGCTCTACCTGAAAAGCCACATAAAAGTGAGAGATGCTTTTATGACGTTTGAAGCAAGAGCAACACTTACCTTGAGTGCACGAGGCTCCAAAACAAGGTGCAAGCCGAATGCAAAGGATAGCTAATGGAAGCCTTGTTCTTTAGCATATTCATTTTTCAAGAGGTGGATTGCAGATATGAATGTGAGGTATCACGAGCTGGCTCCCTGAAAGCCATTACAATTACACTCCACTTTCAAAGATGATTTATTCATTGCACAAAGGAAAGGTGCAAGAAGCCAGGTGGAAGATACACACATGGATGGCCCTTTCTGTGGTGGTCACTGAAATGTCAGTAGGACTAGGGCTCACAAGAGAAAGGATTATAATCAGTTCCTTGTCAGTTTCAAAAGAACTGATTAGTTCCTGGAAGAATAAACAAAGAAAGACTCCCTAGGGACAAAGCCTGTTTGGTATATAGCCCCTGAGGACGAATCAAGTCATGAATGAATAATTATTATTATTGACTGACATATATCTCTGTATATATGTTAGTGTGTGTGTGTGTGTGTGTGTGGAGGGGGGGGGGGGTGTATGTGGGTATATATATATTAATAAATGTGGTTTATGGGTGGGTCTGTGGGGCAGTGGGATTTAGGGGTGGGCATCTCGGATTGTTTTTAACTGAACTGAAATGCACTTTGTGTTGCATTTTTTGTATGAAAAGCGTTTTAGAGATAAAATTTGATTGATTGATCAATTTGTATCATAATTTAGGCTATAGGATTATACACATTTGTGTAGGGGACAGTGTACAAACGTTGACACAAGGTTATGGCAAAGATGCTAATTTCCACCTGTAGACCTTGATATAAAAGATGACAGCATAAAAGTTTGTAAGACCAAGAAATAACTTCCATACAGCTGAAACTCGGTTGATTAGAATATCGTTAATTTATATGTGCATTTGATAAAGTCTCATTACATGCCAAGTAACAGATGCCAAGCCTTGTTACTTTTCAATTTTGTTGAGTATGGATTTAAGTCCATTTACAGAATTCAATATTTTTACAATACAAGGTTTTTACAAGCCAATTAAGATTAAGAGATCCTTTATTTTATAACTGAAGTTAATGGACTATTTAATGATATTTTAATTTCCCCAGTTTCACCTGTACATGTAACTTTTGATTGCTAAAGCATAAAATGTAATAATGTGCGATGCAAAATAACAACAAAAATCAATGATCACAATGTATGTTATTTGTCTACAGGGAGGACAGAGATATTGCGCTTTAGCCATGAACATAATTTTGCTGTTGTCAGTGGCTCTGCATTGACTGGGCACAGCGCTGCGAGGGTCTGAGGCTGATTACATTTGATAGTGAATAAGGAATGAATAATATGTACACAGTTGCGTGCGGGGAAATTATCTATGGGGCCTATTCCACAAGAAATCACCATTGGTAATTTTATTTGGAGTCGTGCGAGGAAATTCACATTGACATATTTATAGGAAACTGAAGAAAATGCATTCTCCAAAACAAGATGTGAACAAGCAATGCATCCAGGAGCACGCCTCCAGCACACCTTTCGCCTACAGAATGCATGATATCCCAGGGATGTTGTCAACCAATCAGATCTCACACACGCCGGCGATAAATAACAGTTCTCTATCATTGAGCAAATGAGCTGTCAGCAAACTTCCGCCCCGCCCCGTCCCGTTCCTGCCGAGCGGACAGCCTCGGGGGGCTTCAGGTCGGGCTAAAAGATGGGCAATAAAAATGAATCATAGATGAAGGCTAGCAACAGGAGAAGTCTGGATGCATTAAACAGGAACAGTTGATATGTCCTTTTGCGATAATAGAGCGTACTGGAGCCACGGCGAAGGCAGTTTTACGCTTGTCAGTCTGAACCACACGGGCAACACCGGCTATCAGGGCGACCACTGCCATCCTGGAATGTCTCTCAGGTAGACTCCCCATTGCAAAAATCTGTTTCATTATCGAGAATGACTAAGTATGCATGCTGCAGTTGACAAAATGCACAAATAAGAAAACGTTTTTGTCTTTGAATCCAAGTATTACAAATAAAAAACACAAATGGACGAGAATGTATATGAGCAGCAATACAAATGATTAGGAATGTGACTTGGCATTCCTTCTCACGTCCTGTCGAGCATAGGCACAGTTCCCAAGGGTCTTGAGGGGCCCGACATGAATAAATGAGCATGCAGGTGTATGCATTTTATTTACACAATATTAGTTTATATTCTCTAAATCAGAAGGATATTCCTCAAATGTTCTACCTAATATTACTGAGTATATAAAGTTAAGGTCCATGAATATTTTATGTATTTGTTTTAAGAAGGAGATCATTAGTACCGGTGTGGAAATAATCTGTGCCTCTTTTTTAAATGTCTCACCTTAAAAGGGACTTAAGTCAAACTTTTCTCTTGTCTTTTCTTTTTTATCAAAATCAACTTTTCTCAACCGATGTTATAGATGTTTCCACTTTCACTGTCACACATCAAACTCATGCTTGTTTGAGTTATTAATATCCACATATGTGTGCACCGCAATTGCTCTCCCCTCAGTCTTCGAACCACCGCCAAGCCCCTCCCCTGGGTTTAACTTATATGTTGCCCATTTTTTATTCTAAGTCTGTGTTATGTGGAGCATTCTATATTATTTGGAGCATAGTTAAATACTATATTGGAATATCAACCATAATTAAAAGGTTTTAAAGTATTTGGGAAAGTATTTGGGAAGGTATTTTTAAGTATTTTGGGGAAAAAAACACATCTATAGATCTTGCTGATTTACTTTTGAGAATTTATCCATTCATCCATTTTCTTTCCCTTAATCCATTTCTGGGTCAAGGGGGGTGGCAGTCAGAGCTGCTCCCTGTACACATAGCACCACCCCCTCACTGATCCTCCTGCAGGTGGTGAGTCCTAAGGAGCCTAGGGGGGGCTTCAGGCAAAGTGGAGTTAGATGTCTTGCCCAAAGACACAATGACGGCACACATCAGTGGTAGTCGTGAAGAAGATCTTATGGTGGGTTCAAACCCACAACCTTCAGGCCCATAGGCCAATGCTCTACTAACTGAGCTACTGTTGCCCCTTTTTTAGCATTTAGAACTATATAATTGAGTGAAACAGAGGCTATTATACTTTTCAATTTCAAGTTCTATAATTAAAAGAATAAAAGCATAAAGGTTAGAATGTATTTTTAAACGTGTGATCTAGATGATTGAAAACTTGTTTACTGTATTATAATCAATTAAACCACTGGTTATGTATTTTGGCAACAATGCATCCAAACAAGCATGATTAAAAAAGTCATGTAGATGACACCATTGCATGAAGTTACACAAAGCGTAACAAGGACTCGTGAAGACGGTGGCGATTTAAGTTGATAATAAAACGTCACTCCACACAAAGTACATCAACCGTGTTGCTTCTAATTGAATTTATATGTCAGTACTAAGCGGCTTCCTCACACTGCACTTGTGCATAATTACATTAATATAGTGCATATTTACATGACCTTATACAACAAATGAGGATCAGCGGTGGAGAAGACAGCCGCACTAATCACTCAGCTGAACTATAAACTAGCCGACGACGTGTGTGACGAGAACCCGCTGCACCCGCTGGCTCTGCCCATGGACGCTAATGGATATTGACATGTTCTCATTAAAAATGTATCCGTATTCGGAGACTTAAACGCGGGAACAATCACGTCTTATCAGCCGACAATGTGAGAGGGCCTGGATGTGAGATTCACTATGGGTGTGTTTAAGTGCAGCCCACACATGGCAGCTGTTTGTCCTGAGTGATGCCATGTCAGTACAGATGGCTCTTTTTGATTCAGCTGTCGCCACTAGATTCTCTCTGGTTCCTAAGTATCTATTCATTTATTCCATTCACAGTGGCTGAGTGGATAGCATTCTCGCCTCTCAGCAAGGAGGTCCTGGGTTCGAATTCTGGTCGGATTGGGGTCTTTCTGAGCATAAGTTTCCTCCGGGCTTCCCCTACCACTAAAAACATGCACACTAGTTTAAATCCTCCAGCTTCGGTATTCCTGACCAAGCTGAGCATCAACATCTGGAGATGGGTTCCCGGGCGGTGTTACTACGGCGACCACTGCTCCTGACGTAAGCCTTAGCAGCATCAGGATGGGTCAAATGCAGAGGATTGAATTGCCCTACGGGGATCAATAAAGTGCACCTTTACCTTCAATTCAATATATTTTTGTATAGCCCTGAATCACAACAGCAGTTGACGATTCGCCAACGTTTAGATTAAGATCAGAATCAAACAGTTCAAACACAGGAAATGCAAGAATAAAACAACACATAGAGCCATCGGTACATAAGGGGTTGCACTTCAATGTTCATAAATGTTGATAGATGTCCATAAAAGTTCATTTCACTGTATATAAAAAGTAATGTTTTTTTCAAATTATACATATTTTTGTCCATAGGGCACTGTACTAATATTTGTAGTATTTTTCAAAAGTTCAAAATAGTTTTTCCCATTTGTATGAAAACAAAAAGTATAAGGTTATCTGTAGGAGAATCAATGCTGTGGGACAAAGAATTTGAATTCATTTTGACCAATTGGAAAGCTGGGGCGAAAAGCATGGGCAGATCTAACCTCTCCCTTTTCAAAATTTGAAAAGAAAGTGACATTCACTTTAAATGAGAAAATAAATGTTGGATAATGATTTTTTTTTTCATAGAATGTATTACTCAAATCTACCCAAAAAATTAAAATGCATTTGTATACATACTTTCTGTTGAAACCAATAAATTGTAAGACAATACGATATCATATACAAGAATGGAAGAAAACACACACACACGCACGCACGCACCTACATAATAAACAGGACACACATTTTAAACGTTATATATATATATTTTTTTTAAACATTTTTTTATATTTATCCCCCCATTCCAATTTTTTATACATTTTTCAGCTCAACAAAGCTTAAGGCATATCTTAAAAATCCGCATTCGTAAGCTACACCAAAAGGCTTTGTTTTTCCAAATTTGGTTGTAATTTTTGTTTTGTTAAGTCAATAAGATAACCCCCCATTTAAAACTTTTTTTTTTTGTTATTCAAAGCTCAAGGCATATCAAAAAAATCTGCATTTTTACATTATGCCATTATACATTTAAATATTACATTATGCCATGTGATATTTAAAAGAGCCTTGTTTTTCCCAATTCCATTTTCAAATTTCAATGTTTTTTTCTTTTTCCCCTTTTTTGTTGAATTTTAGTAATTCAACCTTAATTTTATTTAGTTGTTTTCGTTTTTCATGCTTGTTGTTTTTTGTCTTAATTAGGTTTTTTATGTTCCCAGCCCTGCTGCGGTGACCTCCTACAGTAAGTGAAGGTGACCTCAGGCAGGAGTGATGTGCTTTTAAGACACTGATCTGATGTATGCTCTCAGAGGACCAGGCGACACTCTGCTCCTCCTGGTCCTGAACATTTTAAACACTCGAGAGAAGAAGCGTCCTGGTCGTCGGCCTCGGTCCTCGTCACTGAAGTCTTCCAGCTGGATGTTCAGATTTCTCACCGCTGCCTCCACAAACCAGTCACTCTGGAGCAGGGCTGAGGAGATGGGTCCCTTCCTGGAGACTTCTAGCTGCCTCTTTAGCTACGGCTTTTAGGTCTTTGGTCTTCAGGTCTGTTCCTTGGGGCATGGAGACTCTTCGCTCCACCTCACGCAGTCGCAAAATTACTTTTCCTTGTTCCCAAATGTCCAGAGACACGGGGGATTTGTCCAAGAGCTTTTGGATCATCGTTGAAACCATGAAGTGAACGGCATCGGAGCCGACGTCCTCTGTCTCTGGTGGGACAGTTTTCTCTGGTGGACTGACAGTTTCTGAAGGACTGTTAAAGTTCTGGAGGTTTCTGGAGCAGGAGGTTCTTGGATAACCTCAAGTGGATTATGGTCCTGCACCAGACTCACAAGGTCAAGAGAAGAGATGAAGTCCAGGGACGAAGGAAGATCCACTGGACTGTCCTGCTCAGGAGAAGTCTGGACCACAGCACAGAGGGTCTGAACCAGATCCTTAGGGACAAGATCCTCAGGGATTGTCTCCTCAGGGACAGGCACCTCTGTAATTGGATTCTCTATGATTGATTCATCTGGGATTGGCACCTCAGGGTCAGGAACCTCTGTGATTGGCTCCTCAAGGACAGGCACCTCTGTGATTGGCTCCTCAAGGACAGGCACCTCTGTGATTGGCTCCTCAAGGACAGGCACCTCTTTGATTGGCTCCTCAGGGACAAAATCCTCAGAGACAGGCTCCTCCAGGATTAGTTCCTCAGAGACAGGGACCTCTGGGATAGGCTCCTCTGGGACACGACCCTCAGAAACAGGTTCCTCTAGGAATGGGTTCTCTGGGATTGATAGCTCTAGTCTGGGCTCCTCTATGATTGGTTCCTCAGAGACAGAAACCTCTGGGATTGCCTCCTTTTTTATTGGCTCCTCTTTGATTGGCTCTTCTTTAATTGGCTCATCTTTGATTGGCTCCTCTGGAACAAAATCCCCAGAGACAGGCTCCTCTAGGAATGGGTTCTCTAGTATTGATTCCTCTTGTCCGGGCTCCTCTATGATTGGTTCCTCAGAGATAGGGACATCTTTGATCGGCTCCTCTGGGATTGCCTCCTTTTTTATTGGCTCCTTTTTGATTGGCTCCTCTAGGATTAGCTCCTCAGAGACAGTCTCCTCTGGGATGGTCTCCTCTTGGACCGGTGGGGACCCCTCTCTCTGGGATGCATGTGTGTCTCTCTTGGCTGGTGCGACAGTATCTTTAAACTTCTGCCTGGCCTCGAGCTTCTCTGTCTCTCGCAGTTTGAAGACCCTCTGCTGGAAGAGGAGCTCCTCAGAGGACGACAGCTGAGGGTTGTCCAGCTCCATCTGCTCTTTGAACCCCATCATGTGCAGCATCGCCTCTGCAGCCTGGAGCTTGGCCGTCTTCTTGTTTGGACCCAGGCCCTGACATGTCCTCTGGTCCACTCTGACCTCCATACAGAACTTTGACGCATGGTAGCCACGGTGTTGGAAGCCGACCACCTTGTACTCAGAAGGCCTCTGCGTCCGCACCATCAGGATCTCTGCCAGGGCATTGACGGGGTCTTTCTTGTAGAAGACGTACACCCGTTGTGATGGGTCCACCAGCTCCATGTGGGGTTTGGACCAGCATGGAGTCATGTCCCCTGGCAAAGAACGGTTCTTCAGCTGATGCAACACCACCTTAGCTGCACAAAGCTTGGCCTTTTGTTTGGTGGGGCCTGCACCAAATCCCACCAGGTCCCCCTCTACCAGCTGTATGTGGAAGGTCGTGCATGGGAAGGGCCTTCTTTTCCCATTTCATTAAACTGCAGCTGCAGGTGGTGCAGACATGCCAGTTCGTACAGGAGGGACAGGTCAGTCTTGTGGACTTCACTGGGGTGTCCACGGTGCATGTTGTCTGTGTTTGTGTTTGCTTCTGTTTCTATAATGTGCTAAAATAATACACTGTTGTAGGAGAGATATTCCCTAAGCTTGTTTCAGCTTCCTGAGTTAACCTTTCAAAGCCAAAATTCTGGAATGACATGATAAAGATAAGCTGGGTTGCCATGACAACATCCGTCGTGCGCACAGAGGGACTTTTCTTTGAAAATTCATTGTTGTTTTTATCCTGTATAATGTTTAATCACATTGTTGTTTCTGTAATAAACTAATAATAACATTTATTTTGTTGCCAGTGCGTGACTTGAGAAGTCTCCCGCCGCTGGAGCTCACACAGAACAGTCTGTGTGCAGGACATTTACGTGAGCGCCCCCTGCAGGTTCTGTTGTGACATTCAACAGGTCTCAGCACAGTCACAGGTCTAGACGAACATCACGTTTCATTGATTTCATCAGAGTCTCGACAAATGAGTAAAGTATCATCTACAAACAAGTGTAATGTGGATCTGTGTCACACTTCCTGAAGAGTCCAGATAGATTCAGTCCTTCATCTCCCTGTTTCTGTCTCAGTAATAGTACATCATCCACGTAGGCTTCTATTCATGATGCTACAGTCAGAGTCACTTTACCTGCTTTATTACTACAGTATTACATATATTAAGTATTCTACACATGCTACGACATTCCACAAACCACTTCACCTGATGCTACTATTACTACTATTTATTATTGTCATATTCTCTGCAGCTAAAGTACAAAATAAACATCTGTAAATACATCATGGTGCTGGCAACGACAGTGTATACTCTGCAAGAGACTTATCCTTGAACCAAGTGCAATTATAGCTCCAGAGTTCATCCTCTTTTTTATCATCTATGAATGAATGAATGTTTTATTTCAAGCATAAAACAATAACAATTTAAATGTATCACAAACCTGTGGTATCCTAAACATTATAGTAAACAATAAATATGAATCAATGCATTACATATTTTCTGCAAAGAAGTTGTATTATATCATAACTGATCTTTGAAGCTCAGTAGGTTTCTCACAGTCGACAAAGTCCTCACAAATCAAAGAGTTTATCCGTATTTTTGCTGACCTGGGTTTAAGTCCAACAGTTTTGACTCTGCCATTTGGTGGAAAATCTAGGACATGCATAACCCAGGACAAATGCAGGCCTAATGCAGGACCAACCAGAATGTAACTTGGACCCCACCCAGAATTAGGCGTCCTATAGAGTTTGTGGAATATGCTGTTATGTTTTGTAAAGGGGGTGCTTTATTTCAGCAGGGTCTGGGAAGAGTGTCAGAGTTGATAGAGAAACGTACAGGACAATCTTGGAAAATGTCGCAACATTTTTCTTTTCACTTTTGCATCAAGCTGTGTTAGTTCTTTAGCAACTTTTACTACTTTTTGTCTTATTTTGTTTGATTATAATTGGCTTGATACATAATACAACACTCCAGATCAGAGAGAGAGAGACCAGAGAGAGACCAGAGAGAGAGACCAGAGAGAGAGACCAGAGAGAGAGCTCAGAGAGACTACCGAGACCAGTGAGAGAAAGCCCTGAGAGAGACCAGGGGTAGACCATAGAGAGACCAGAGAGAGAGATCAGAAAAAGAGACCAGAATGAGACCAGAGAAAGATACTATAAAGAGGCCAGAGAAAACACCAGAAAGAGACAAGAAAGAGACCAGAGAAAGAGACCAGAAAGAGACCAGAGAAAGAGACCAAAAATTCCAGAGAAAGAGACCATATAGAGACCAAAGAAAGACACCAAAAAGAGACCAGAAAGAGACCAGAGAAAGAGACCAGAGAAAGAGACCAGAAAGAGACCAGAGAAAGAGACCAAAAAAATCCAGAGAAAGAGACCAAAAAGACACCAGAGAAAGATACTAGAGAGAGACCAGGGAGAGACAATGACACAAAAAAGAAACGTTAATACGTGAAGGTCTTTCCTTAAACTAAACCTAATTCCAAAAGGTGTTCTCCTCTTTGCTTTGTTCAAACACTCAAACTCACTGGACACACCACCCCAAACCTGGACACAAAGCTGAACGTTGTGGACGGTCTTTGTGCACGACCTCAAGGTTAGCGCGCTGACCACAATACGCCGGGTTTATGCCAGACGCGAAACACACACATCAGGTCTGAGTGAGATATTAGGACCTACAACACACACATCAGGTCTGAGTGAGAGATTAGGACCTACAACACACACATCAGGTCTGAGTGAGATATTAGGACCTACAACACACACATCAGGTCTGAGTGAGATAATAGGACCTACAACACACACATCAGGTCTGAGTGAGATAATAGGACCTACAAGAACTTCAGGTCTGAGTGAGATATTAGGACCTACAAGTACTTCAGGTCTGAGTGATATATTTATCAATAGTTACTCCACCTCACTTTATATTTGTTTTTGATATTTTAAATCCTTATTTAAACGAGAATATTTTTCAGGGAACCTTTTCTACATTTTTTTAGTGTTATCAAAACCAGAGTACCCGGAGAAAATCTACTGACACAAGGAGAACATGCATTTTTGTTGTGGAGCTTGTTTTTGGGCTCTATAACACTGTAGTATGCACTAAAAAATGGGGACATAATAAAAGTCACCGTATTTCCTCAGGTCCCCATATTGAAAGGTGTGTTATCATTCAAAAGTCCTCATATGTCCACAAAACAAACACACACACACAAATACAGACAGCAGTGATGGGAATAACAGCGTTACTAACGCCGTTACTTTTTTCAGTAAAGAGTAATCTAACTAATTACTTTGACTGTAACTATAACGCCGTTATCATTGCCCCGTTACTGCACGTTACCCAAGTCGCACATTGAATTTTTTTACTTCATGATAGGACTCCTGCGCGTGTTGTCATGAGAGAAGGGAGGATGAGAAAACTTCTCAGCAATTATTGGCTCATGTAAAACATATTTCCTTTACAATCAACATGTCTACAGTTGAGAGGATGGGTCATAAATTGTGTTTTTGACAACAAATATGGGTCTTATTCGCGCCCAACCACGGCTTGTACTTTAAACGTAAGCGAAGAATTCGGCTGCATCTGATTCCATCAGAAATCCCCTTTTTTGTTTGGTTAACATACGTATAACACATTTTAAGATTATTTAAAATGCACTTATGGTAATGTTCCAATGACAATAGGAATGATAAGAAAGAGAGGTGAAAGGT